AAAAAAAAAGCCGGTGATCAACAAATTAGCAGAAAAGTCCACAGAAAAAGCACAGAACAGCCGAACCCCAAAGTTATGGCATCAAAAATAAATGTCAGTTACACAGATAGTGGTGCTCATTAAGGTGTTTCAAAAGCTGGTCATTGATTAAGAAGGCCTTCAGGCCATCCATAACTACATACACATCACTGTCCGCAGTGTTTAAACCAGCGAGAATCGCTGTCTACTGTGAATATCATTATCAGTCAGAAGCACTACTTTTGCTTTTAAAAGCACCCCAGCTGCTCTGAAAAACGAAATTGCCTTTCTTTCATGCTGTCATCTTATAGTTTTTCAGCCTCAATTTATACCGCTTAAATCAGTTCTTTTTTTAAGGTTCCAAATAATCTTCATCTCTTCAAAGAAAGCGCAATACAGAGAATTTCCTCGCAATCACTTGTGAAACAAAATTAAAGTTGAATAAAACCCTAAGTTTTTTCAAATTTCAAATACAAGTCAAACCTAGCCAATCTGGACATTTAAAACCCAGTATGCTTGATAAAAATTCAATCCTTTCATAGCTAATATGCAAACCAGTTTCCTTAGATTAGCAGCGTTACTAACTTCTGAAGCATTAATACCTTTACGAAAACAAAGGAGAAGTTTTCATCCGACTGCGTATAAAACTAAAACAGTTTTTTCGTACGAAACATTTGAATTCAATTTGGTGCAAAGAGTCTGAGAAGACCACCAACAACCGACATCTTTTTCCGTTGACGTTCGATTACGCTAGAAATTTGGCTTTAAAATAGAAGTATTTGGAGTTTAAGATCGTCTAAACTGACCTATACCTGAGCGGTCAAATTATTAAAAAATCCAAGAGTTCAAAAAAAAAAACACATAGTCCGATAATCGCACTTTAAACATATCAAAACGTCTGAATAAGACGCTTATTTCTTGAGACCCATCAGCAAACAACAGCAACGACTTCGCTGACTTTCGAAAAACTCATTTGGTGCGCCAGCTCGAGGCATTTGCGCAGCATTTTCAGCCATCATCAATCATCATCCGGCTAGTGGGGAAGAGGTTTGGAGCCTCTGTCTGCGAGACCCAGCCTGCTGGCGGAAGAAATGATCGCGTTGATTCGGACACCCACAGTGCACCTGAATGTGCCTATCTTAGAATATGCTTTTTTTAAATGTTAACCTACGTTAGTTCTCTTTTTTTGTTTAAGGCCCTTTGTCCCGAACTGATTCATGTGTAGAAGTCTCTGACTTGTCCATACGCTTTTTTCTACGCACCTAACTACCTGACGTCAAAATTCCGGTCTAATCTTTACGTCGGTTAACTACATTCCTTCGCTGGTGCCACGCATTACAATAAAAAGCAGTTACGTTGTATAACTCTCTGGCGCTGAGTTCCTGTGAGGGCTTTCTCTTTGATATATACTTCTACTACTGTAGTAGTGGTTGTAGTTAAATCACATCCGCAATGCATGTCCTTAGCAAAGCAGTGGAAAAAAACTTTTGTTCAGAAATGGTTTTAAAATTTGCGTATAAGGTAGTTTTCATAATTGCTAATTGCTTCATTCATTTTGACCGAAAAAAGCTGTACAGAATACATTCAGATGCTCTCTTCTGGAATAAGAATCTTTTTAGTAGATATATACGCATATGTGTTTTGATATGTTCCCAACAAGTTCAGTCAAGTCAAATATTGCTTAATTTACCACAAAATAACTAGTCGATTTTCACTCCGGTTTCTTGTCATCAGTTACCATAACTTTTTTTCCACTTTTATACATACACTGGGTACTGCACAGTTATTTTCGATAGCTACTGACTTCTTCACCAAGCATACTTCTAACTCCCTTTTTCAACCTGCATTTGGATGTTTCATTTATTTTTTGTACTTCATTTTCATTTCCTTTTTCGCAACTTCTGATATCAGCTTAGATATGGTTGCAAGATAAAAAGTGAAGAAAATGAATGAATAGAGTAAAACACGGGTTTTT